AATAGTAAAACGTAAACCTATGCGCAACGAATCTAAAGGTTTGCGTAGAGAACTTACGGCTTAAAATTTATAGTGATATGGCTGATCTTCTGGATGGCCGTACACAACACACCAATGAATTTGATGACTGCAAATCGCGTCTGAGGATTGCACGAACAAGATCAGATCAAAAATCGGATCAAACGAGTGCAAAACGGATGAAGACAAGTTGCAGTCCTGGGACCTTGCGGTGACGCGTGCGGGCGCATGGGTAGTCGGACGGCTGCGATCTCGGCGGCATTGGAAAGATCTTGTCGAGACGGTTGTCTGGGTATGCTGCACGTCTTGATCGGACCTCCGGTTAGTTCTGTGCGACAAAATATATTTCGTCTCACTTTACCTAAAGATCTTCTAGTGTATATCTCAAACACCTCTTAATCTTGTACCAGTGGAACAACAAGAAGAAGATAAAGCTCGAATGTGAACTGAGAGAGAGAAGAGAGGCATGGGGCGTGTTTCACAAAATGTGGAAACTTCTCTTCCCATGAGCTTAATGATATATATATAGAGCTACAGTAGGGATCCTTAAGAGATCAGGATTATGGCTCCTTAATTAATTAAAATACTTGTGGACCAAGCCACTTATTTGAATTAATTAAATAATATTAATTGGGCCACCAACATAATATTATTGCACTCTCTTTTCCTAGCCCAATTTACAATTGAGACTCCAATAATAATTACTCGATTTATCTCCCCATGTTTAAGATATAATGTCCATTAATTAATTCGATTACTGACAATCAAGAATTAATTAATGTAATATTATTTCACCGAAGCTAGCGCTCGTTCATCACATTATTACTATGCCAGAATTTAATCCACCTGTAGGGTTTAGCATAATAATCCTTCATGAACTCACTCTGGGGACGTCATCAAACTAACGCACATGGTAACCGTAAATATCCTAACAGCACATCCTACATGTAGCAATATTACCCAAGATAGCGGGTCTATTGGCCCAGTTCACTAAGCCTCACCCATGTGAATCAAATTAATAAATACTACACATATATGTCTGTTTAATATCTTACGGGTTAAGAGTACGCAGTAATTAACCGAAGCCTAGTTCGTTTACGACGATTAGTATAAAATG